TGGGTTTGCCTTTATAGGTCAGTTGGCATTTTTTTATTTGCTGCTCTTAATATTCTTTCTTTATTCTGTATGTTTAGTTGTTTAACTATTATGTGGCAAAGGGAATTTTTGGAGAATTTAGTCTGTTTGGTGTTCTATTGGCTTCTTGTATCTTCATAGGTATTTTCTTTTTTAAGTTGGGAAAGCTCTCTTCTATGATCTTGTTGAATATATTTTCCGTGCCTTTGAGTTGGTATTCTTCTTCTTCTATCCCTATTATTCTTATGTTTAGCCTTTTCATGGTGTCCCAGATTTCCTGGACATTTTGTATTATGACTCTAATGGCTTTGGTATTTTCTTTGACTGATCAATATATTTCCTCTATTGTATCCTCTACACCAGAGATTCTCTCTTCCATCTCTTGTATTCTGTTGGTTATCCTTGCATCTGTGTTTCCTGTTCATTTACTCAAATTTTCTATTGCCCACATCCCCTCTGCATCTTCTTCATTGTATCTATTTCACTTTTTAGATCTTGAACTGTTTCCCTCACATATTTAATTGCTTTTTCATGGTTTTCTTGGCTTTCTTTAAGGGATTTATTGATTTTTTTTCTAATTTTTTATTTGTCTTTTCCTCAATTCCATTTTTTGTTTGTCTTTCTTTCAATTTGTTTATTTATTTCTTCCAATGTTTTTGTTTGCCTTTTCCTCAATTTCTTTAAGGGAATTTTTCACTTTTTCTTGAAAGGCCTCTAGCATCTTCACCAAGCTGTTTTTAAGGTCACATTCTTCTGCATCTTCTATATTGTTATGTTCAGGTCTTGCTGTTGGAATAGAGCTAGGTTCTGGTGATGCCATATTGCTTTTTTATGTTGTTGTTGTGTATCTTTGCATTGACATCTGCCCATTTCTTCCTCTAATAGGTATACGAGGTGCCTGTGTCTGAGCAAGTTACTATGGTCCACTCTGTGCTTGTTGTGTCTGTGTCTCAGGGGGCCTGTCTGGGTCCGATCTTAGCGCTTGGTCTAATTGGAGATGGTAGATTCTGTATCTCAGGGAGCTGCTCTTGGCCCAACCCAAGCTAGTTGATTCTGTGACTCATGGAGCAGCTCTTGGTCTTATCAGGGCTCTTGGTCGAGTCAGAGCTGACAGTTTCTGTGTCTCAGGAATCCTCTCTTGGTTCAATGAGAGCTGGCAGATTCTATGTCTCAGAAAGACACACTTGGTCCAATGAGGTCTGGTGGATTCCCTGTCTCGGGAAGTTACTCTTGGTCCAATGGAGAGCTCTTGGTCCAAAGAGAGCTGGCATTTCAGTTTCCATGTTTCAGGGATTTACTGGGGTCACATGCAGATGGGTGGTGGGGCAGGGCATGGAACTTGTAGATTATAGGGTCTGATGGGGGATTTTGTTGGGGGGGGGTTCTCACAGGAGTTTTCCCTGCTGGCCAGCAACTGGGGACAGAGTTGGGTAGGGGGGGCTGGCTTTCTCGTAGGGCCTGGACTCTCTGGGTATGAGAAGAGTCACTCATCTCTTGGTTCAATGAGCACTGGGGGTTTGGATTCTGTGCCTCAGGAAGTTACTGGGGTCACAGATGGATGGGCCTGGGTCATAGGGGCCTCATTGTACCAATTTCTACTATTGCAGAATGCATGAAAAAATGAAATTCTGAAATTCCTCATCCTTACATAATTGTCTTCTTCAGATGCCTCTGTCATCTTGTACACTTCAGAATCTATATAGGGTATACTGACATTTAAATGATTTGCAAACACAAAATACAATTAAGAAAGAAACCAGCGCTTATACAGTGACCTCCTGATTAGTTTACAGACAATGTTAACGCTAAGTGTATATTTTTCTCTTTATGTTACTAACAGTGAACTGAAACCCACAAAACTCAGAAAATCTATTTACTTCTTATATGTATAGATGGAGAAATCACATCAACCAGTGACTTTAACAGAGAATCAAGCCTCATAAATGTCTAAAATGTACTGTTGTTTATTTAATCAGGGAAATGAATAGAAGTTTTCAATGTTGGTGATAAAATTGCATTAGAAATACTCTGATGATTAAACATTTACTTCTGAATTATTAAAACCTCAGGACAAGTATTATAGTTAAAGTAAAAAGAAGATGGTTATAGAAATAGCATCAGTTGACAGGGAAGCGATTACACTAAAATGGAGTAAAGACTTCATGAGTCAGTACAAAATACAGATATGTAAGATAAAACAATACTGCATTATCTACACATAATTATAATTTTGGTTGCCTCTAGAAACGGTTCTCAACATATTAAGCAATCATATGCAATTTAATTAAATTTTGTATTGCACACCTCCTTTAATCTTTACTGGATAATTAACTGGTTCCTTGTATTATAGCACCCAGAGAAATGACTAGATTTTAAATTAAAATGCTACAGAAGTTCATAAAAGTTTCTAGAAGGCTAAGAGTATATAAAAAGAAAAGTATTCAGTACTGAGAGAAGTAGAATTAATTGTGCTTATTTTGATTTGTAAGGCTGCAAACAACTTAATTTTATTAAACTTCACTGGAATGTGTCTTGCATTTTTGAAAATTAGACTATGCACAAAACTAAATTTATAAGTTTTATGAAATATCCAAGTCCATGTGGAAAACATTTAAAATTTTCAATACAATATGTAACATAAATGTGTGCATAGTGTTAAATATTTATATCCCAGAGATAGCCACAAAATCAGTGTGTGTGTGTGTGTATGTGTGTGTGCTCACAATGTCTCAAGTGACTATCAAGTTTTTCTCTCTTGTTTCCCTCAGAGTCACCTAATGCAAAATGACACAAATTTTCCATAATTTCTAATGTTAGGCATACTCATGGTCATGTTTAAATAAAATAACCACCTCTACATAACTTAAAAATGAAAACTGATATTACCACTGTGTGCCTTTAAAAAAAGATAAAAATCCAATTACCACAAAAAAAGAAAAATTTCATGAGTATAAATTAGGTGTCAGAAAATTCACTCCGTGTTTCACAAGCAGTTTAAGGCCAAAGGGTACCTCTGGGAAAAGAAAATCATAGAATATGAAAGCAACTTAAGGAAAGAGAAAGTCAAGCCTAACACCTCACAAAGAGGAACAGCCAAGCACATCAACACTTGCATTATATTTGCCTTTGTAAATACTGGAAAGCCTGAAAAATATTTTTCCTCATAGAGGCTACAATATTGTAACCTGGAGTTGTTTTCTCTTTTTCTCATGATTATATATGTAGACAGTGTTGTCATACAGGGGAATAACATTTCTACATAACCTATATTTTTTTCTATTATAATCTTTGAATGTATTCATTTGACAGGAATGTTGAGATTTTTCAGAATATTTTTGACCATCGATTTTTCTTTTAAACAAAAGTATGTGTTGCTTTTCCTTTTGACACACAAAAATGTTTTAAAAAGCATTTCATTATGATGTTTTCACATATGCCTATTTTTAATTTTGATCATAGTCACCCTCTCTATTATCTCCTCTTAACTCCTCCTCAGTTTCTCTTTTTCACTACATTAATAAGTATTTCCTGTTATACTTTTCTGTCATTTTAAAAGTCTGTTGTGGTGGTTTAAGTGAGAATGGTCTATAGATATATACCTTTGATATATGTGAATACTTGGTAACCAACTGGCAGAACTGATTTGGAAAGGAAGAGTTGTGTCTTTGTTGGAGGAGGTGTGTCTTTGTGGAGGAGGTGTGTCACTAGCTTTGAGGTTTCAAAAGCCCATGCAGGCTCTGTCTTACTTGCTATCTCTGCCTACTGCTTGCATATCAGATGTAAGTTCTCAGCTACTGATACAGTACCATGCCAGATTGCCTGCTGCTCTCTCCCCTTTATGGGCATGGGATCTAACCCACATGAACCGAAGCTCCCTAAACTTTCAATGCTATCATTTCATTCTATTAAAATCTAAAATATCTTGAAAATATTTATTTATTTATTTTGGTTTTCAAAATTTTTATTAAGAAAATATGTGCATACAAATTACATGATTATTCAATATATCTTATCCTGGGGCATGTTGTAATATTTCTGGCTTAGAGTTTCTACTCCTGTGAAGGGACATCATGATCATGGCAACTCTTTTAAAAGAATTAATTTAATTGGGGCTTGTTTACAGTTCCAGAGGGTTACTACATTACCATCATAGTAGGAATATATGGTAGCATGCATGGCAGGCATGGTGCTGAAGAAGTAGCTGAGAGCTAATCCTGCTCTGCAGACAGATGTGGGGCAGAAGTGGGGAAGCTGGTATGGGTATTTATTTATTTATTTATTTATTTATTTATTTATTTATTTCTGTGTTGTGATTTGGCTTTTTTTTTAAAATGCCGAATGCCTTTTGTTGAAGGAGGGAGGAGGTCTTAAATATAGGCTTTCAGCACAATGGGAGAACCCTGGAGGGAAGAAGTTTCCTATGTTTTACAATCTTGCATCTGTGATACCTCAGTAACTCCCCCCCCCACTCTATCCCCTACAGACAAAGAGAAGCTTAAACCAGGATTCCTAAGTGTAGATAAGAACTTAGACCACTTTTCCCCAGGTGGCTGTATCTGCTACAGGGACTTTGGAAAACACAGGGTTAGGATATTCGACCAAAAGACTAAAAACTGGAGGCAGGTTGAAATGAATTATATGGTATGTGCCTTTAAGAACTAGCCTCACAAAGAAAGGGGAGTGCTCCTTCCAACCTCCCTGCTGTGAGTGAGAGATTTGGAAGAGCCTTCCTGGAGGCTTGTAAACTTAGAATACACCTTGCTTTTGCATTCTGTACCTAAAGTCTCCAGTGGCGGCTTTGGGGATGAGATCTGGGCACAACAAGACCCTCATTCTGTTGTCTCAAAAAGGGGGCCTTAGACAAAGATATCTCAAAATAGATAGACCCAGGCCAGTTTCAAGTCCCCAGAAATGATGGCGCCAGCCCCAGGAACAAAAGAACAGAGTCAGGATGTCTGATGCTAACCAATTAACCACAAGATGCCCCTCTCCAGAGATAACATGACCAGACCCCGGAGAGGAGTTGTAAATCTCCTGACAGGGCAAACAGATAAGCTAGAATAAGATAAAGTCCAGGCCCGGGAAAAACTGGACCAGTCAAGGATGGACTCGTACTAACCCCCTCCTGTCCTCTAGTTATTGTTTTCAAGCATTTTTGGACAGGAAAAAATATGGAAATTAAATGATACAGGATATATTTCTGTCTGCTACCATAGAGAAGTGGTTGAAAATTAAGCATGGCCTGACCCCCTGGCCAACACTTTGTTTTATCCATACATGATCTTATATAATTAAATCCCATGTGATCGAGAAGTATAATTTGTAACAATGAATTTTATCTTTTATGTCAGATAGATGACAAATATGAGCATGTGGCCTAAATAAAAAATTGAAATAATTTATTATATTAACTTGTGAATAGATACACTGCAATTTAAAAGTCATCTTTTTATACTGGTTATATACTTTCTAAAAATGTATAGGCAATATGTACTAACTCTTGAAAATAAGGAAAATAAAACTCCCACCAGTAAATATTTACTTCTACTTTTTGAAAAAGATTAACCATCCCAATCCTTTGTATAACTCTATTTTGCCTTTGGTAAGTTGGGGAATCTGTGAAGTTCTCTAAAGCAATTCTATCAAAACTTTTAAATGAACATACTAGATAGATGAACAGATGGAATACCAATTCATATTATATGGAATGACTTTTAACAAAAATGAGAAAGTTGGTTTCCTTATCCATTTGGGTGATGTTTATCTTTTCTTTTGTATACTATGTAATATACAATTGGAAAACCTTTGCTGTCTGTTCTGAAATGTTTAAAGAACAATTAAACAACATTTGGAAGTCAAGAGAGTTGATTTTCTTAAACAATATTTACATGAATATGGTACAGTGGAAAGTTTTGTTTTAAAATATGTATATACAGTTTGGCTCAATATACAATGAAATGCTATCCCCTTTTAAAGTGAAAATTAAGTCCTACCTACCACACACACACAAACACACAGTCACAGCTCATTATCAAGTAAGGAAAAAGATTTTGCTCTCATTTGGAATTTGAAACATATTTCTTTTACTTATGATATAATCATATCATCAAATTAACCATTTGTACAATTTCAACACAGCAAAAAGGTGTTCAAATTTAAATTTACTCATCCGTTTTAAGGGGACATTTAGTTTCTTTCACTGACATGTAACTGTTTATACATCTTTATGTGGTATTGTATTCCCCCAAATATTGTGCATGCTAATAAACTTATCTGGGGTCAGAGACAGAGCAGCCACAATATTAAACATAAAGGATAGGCAGTGGTAGCACACGCCTTTAATCCTTGCATTCCAGAGGCAGAAATCCATGTGTTCAAGGATACAGACAAGCATGGTGACTCATCACACCTTTAATCCCAGAAAGCAAGCCTTTAATACCAGGGAGTGGTGGTAGATAGAAGAAAGGTATATAAGGCGTGAGGACCAAAAACTATAAGCATTTGGCTGGTTAAGCATTCAGGCTTGCTAGCAGCAATTCAGCTGAGACACATTCTGGATGAGGACTCAGAAGCCTCCAGTCTGAAGAGACAAGACCAGCTGAGGATCCAGCGAGGTGAGGTAGCTGTGGCTTGTTCTGTCTCTCTGATCTACCAGCATTGACCACAATAACTGGCCTTGGGTTTGATTTTATTAATAAGAACTTTAACATTCATGCTACATCTTTATGGGATAAAGATGATGGGATAAATAAATAATGATAATTCGTACATGTTCACAATGACAATGACAATCAGAGTAATTAGCATTTTTGTCTCATCAAAATATGATTTTTTCTGATTTTGCAAATACTACATTCCTCTTTTTCAATTAATTTGGAATTTTAATGTGTCTTGTCTAGTCAACTAATTCCTCTACAAAAGAGTAGAATTAATTCTTGCTATCTATCAGTACTTCAGGTGAGCAGCATTCTGATTTTACATTGAATGAATCTCTCATTCAGAGATTTCTTTTCACAAGTTTTTGTTTTAGCTACTGACACCTATATCTAATATTTAGCTTTCCTGTTTTCAAAAGTATTTTAGTTTTTCTATATTTTCCATAAAAGGGTGCATTAATAAGGTTCACTAGACTCTAACTCTGGTCTGCTTTGAAACTGATTTTGATCTTGGCTGGCATGATCAGTTTTATATATACATGATATTAGTACTTTTTATAATTAGAAACAAAATATTAAGCAAAACACACGTTATATGACCCAAATTAAGAAATAAAATTAGTGAATGTAAAAGATGATCCTACATGACTAACCAAAAATTCTAAACTCACACAATTCAATGACAATATTTTTTTCCCAAATCTCCAAATGGTATTGTTTTGTTTTGCAATTTACACTGAAATAATGTCTTCACTGGAGGGGCATGCTTCAATACACCAATGTTCCAAGGGGAGGTAAAGCATTCCACATTGCAAAGAAGATTCTTAAACTTGGGAAATAAACAAAACTCTTCAAGAAGTCCTAGAAATTGACCATATTCAACTGGCTCTTCTTGCCACACTATTTATATATTAAAAACTGCTGAGAGATACTCAGACAGAACAAGCAGAGACAAGCTTAGTAGGCTGAAACCAGAGGAATCTAGCAGAACTGCGTTGAAGAAGCTGAGACCATACACGATTAAATGGAAAGGACATTCTCCAGTTCATTGAGCTGCCTACATATTATGCCTACAGGCCTAGAATATAGGACAGATTTTCCTGTGAAGCAGGAATTTTGAAGGACTATTCTGCCTTGTCTTGGCAAAGTTTGGAAATATCTTTCCTTTGTGTGCTGCTTGTCCAATTTGGACAGCATACTGTCAGCATTCAAGGCAAGGGCTTGGAATTTTAATGTGTTTTTTCCCCCCAGGGGCTAACTTTTGCCACAAAGAAAGCAAACTTCATATAGAGATTCTTCAGTGTGTATCACCTCTTCTGAAGTAGATTGGTGCTGACAAGAACAAATGTATCTCATTGTCATGAAAAGCTTTATGTTATTAAAATATGTAAAATGCCATATTCTGTAGATCATCGAAGTATTTGAAGACCATCTGTCTGTCTAAAACATATCCATTTGACCTTGAAAACATAAAACATATCTAACATGACTACAAGTTTGATTGTAATAGGTGGCTAATAACTAACCAGCATTTTTTATCTCAAATAGTTTGTAATAATAATTTTCAAGGACTTGAAATTTACATAACACTGTTAAATGATGTGCATGGGTGCAATACCTTAAACAAGAGTAGAAACACATGCACAGTATATTCTAACAAAAACAACATTAAATTTGTATCAATATATAAAAATACCTTAACAAGATTAGAAGCATATACACAGTATAATAAAAACAACCTTAAATTTGTATCATTATACAAAAATACCTTAAACAAGTTAAGAAACAAATATGCAGCATAACAAAAATAACCTTAAATTTGTATCAATATACAAAAATACCTTAAACAAGAGTAGAAACATATAAATCCAGTTACACTGAGCTTGACAGAAGAGAAAGTAGGAAGTAGTCTTGGACACACTGGCACAGGAGACCACTTCCTAAATATAACACCAATAGCACAGACACTGAGAGCAACAATTAATAAATAGGACCTCCTGAAACTGAGAAGCTTTTGTAGGGCAAAGGACATGGTCAATAAGACAAAACAACAGACTACAGAATAGGAAAAGATCTTCAGCAATGCCACATCTGACATAGGGCTGAACTCTAAAATATATAAAGAATTCAAGAAACTAGACATCAAAATATCAAACAATCCAATTAAAAATGTGCTACAGAGCTAAATGGAATTTTCAACAGAAGAATCTCAAATTGCTGAAAGGCATTTAAGGGATTGTTCAACATCCTTAGTCATCAGGGAGATGCAGATCAAAATGACTCTGAGATACTATCTCATAGCTGTCAGAATGGCTATATTCAAAAACACTGAAGACAGCATATGTTGGAGAGGATGTGGAGCAAATGGAACACTCCTCTACTCTTGGTAGGAGTGCAAACTTGTACAAGCACTTTGGAAATCAGTATGGTGGTTTCTTAGAAAATTGGGAAACAATCTACTTCAAGACCCAGTTATTATACTCTTGGGCATATACCCAAGGAATGCTCAATCATATCACAAGGACACATGCTCAACTATGTTCATAACCACATTATTCATAATATCCAGAACCTGGAAACAACCTAGATGCCCCTCAACCAAAGAATGGATAAAGAAAATGTGGCACATATGCAAAATGGAATACTACTCAGCAGTAAAAACAATGACATGATGAAATTTGCAGGTAAACAGACAGAAATAGAAAATATCATCCCGAGTGAGGTAACCCAGACTCAGAAGGAAAAACATGGTATGGAATCACTCATAAGTGTATTCTAGATGTAAAACAAAGGATAACCAAACTACAACCCACAGTTCTAGAGAAGCTAGCTAACAAGGAGGACCCTAAGAAGGATGCGTGGATTGCCATGTGAAGGAGAAATAGATGAGATCTTCATGAGCAAACTGGGAGTGCGGGGGCGGGGGGGCGGGAATAGAGGGTTGGGATAGGTGAAGAGAACATAAGGGAATGGGATATTTGGACTGGAAAAGGGACAGAGTGGAAGATCAAAGAAAGAGATACTACAAAAGATGGATTTATCATAGGAATAGGGAGAAACAGGATGCTAGAGAATTTCCCAGGAATCCACAAGAATGAACCAACCTTAGACTAATAGCAATAGTTTAGAGAAGCCTGAACTGGCCTACTCTGGTAATCAGACTGATGAATACCATAACTGCCATCTATGGTGATATTTTATTTTGTACTACAATGTTATTTGTATGTTAATAAATAAAGTTACCCAGGGGTCAGAGCTATTAGCAAGCCATAGGAAAGCTGGGCAGTGGTGGTGCATGCCTTTAATCCCAGAAATTTGTAGGCAGAGCTAGGTAGATCTCTGTGTGTTCAAGGATATGGCCAGCATTGGAGACACATGCCTTTAATTTCAATACCAACCATAGAAGACCTGGAGGTCTGTACAGACAGGCAATGGGCCAATAGCTTCTGATGTGCAATGGAACAACAGCTGAAACAGTTATTCTTGAAGAGTAACTAAGCTCACGCCTCTCAATAGTAAGTAGAATGGCATTTAATAGAGGGATGTGGAGAAGAACAGGATGCTGAGATGAAGCCACATACACACATAGCCAAGAAGAATGGACAGCTGAATTCAAAAAACATCAACAATTTCCAGAATTTAAAGTCCTGAATCATGACAGGACACTAGTGGAATTCAGGTGTTTCTGGTACATGGACTACTCTCACCCAATGTGAGGTTGAACTGTTGACCATGTGTACATCCTACTTCACAAATGAGTCTGTCAGATAAGCTAAGCTTATAGGCTGAAGATGATGCCCCAACACTGTGGAGAAACCTCAGATGACTGTCCAGGCAGCTGGCTGTTTCTGTCAACTCACAATTTTTTGCAAGTTGCTTGCATGTGCTTCCTGTTTTTATTTTTGTTAGCTAATATTATTTCCTTCTTGTGTCTCTGAGGGAGTTGAAGATTAGTTAGTTATAGTTCAAGATTAATTAGGATAGAAAGTGAATTAGATACATTTTGGACTTACCAAAATAGGATAGATAATGGAATTATTTTCTCTGAATTTGTCAAATACAAATGGACTACACATTGTTTAGGTATTTATTACTTGTATATATTGTATATAGTTATTGTACTTTTGTATATAGTTTTTCTTATGTTAGTTATTTTTCCTTTTTTCTCTTTATGAAAATAGAAAAGGGGAAATATGGTGATATTTTATTTTGTACTAAAATGTTATTTGTATGTTAATAAATAAAGTTGCCAGGGGGTCAGAGCTATTAGCAAGCCATAGGAAAGCTGTGCGTTGGTGGTGCATGCCTTTAATTCCAGCACTTGCTAGGCAGAGCTAGGTAGATCTCTGTGTGTTCAGGGATACAGCCAGCATTGGAGACACACGCCTTTAATTTCAATACCAACCATAGAAGACCTGGAGGTCTGTACAGACAGGCAGTGATGAGGCAGTCATGTGGTTGGGTTTACAGCCAATGAGAAGGCAGAACTGAAAGTCTTTATAAAGACTTTAACACAGGAAGTAGCTCTCTTTCAGAGAGGTAGAACCACCACAGGAGGAAGGGTAAGGTTTTGGCTCTGAGCTCTGACCTCTTGGCTTTCTTCTTTGCATTGGTTCTGTGTTTCTTATTTAATAAGATGGTTGGTTACATCTACAGCCATCATAGAGCCTTCATCCAGTAACTGATGGAAGCAGATGCAGAGATCCATGGCCAAGCACCAGGCAGAGCTCCAGGGGTCCATTCAGTTAGAGAGAGGAGGGATTCTATGAGCAAGGGACATCAAGGTTATGATGAGGAAATGTATAGAGATGGCCAGGCCAAACTAGTGGGAACTCATAAACTGTGGGTCAATAGCTGTGGAGCCCCCATGGGACTGAACTAGGCCCTCTCCGTAGGTGAGACAGTTGTTTAGCGTGAACTGTTTAGGGGGCCTCTGGCAGTGGGATCATGATCCATCCCTGGTGCATGAGTGGGCTTTTTGGAGCCCAGTGCCTATGGTGGGATACTTTGTGCAGCCTTGGTGCAGGGGGAGGAGATTGGACCTGACTCACTTGAATGTACTAGGTTCTGCTGACTCCCCATGGGAGGCCTTGCTCTGGAGGAGGTGGGAATTGGGGGTGGGTTGGGGGAAATGCTGGGGGTGGGAGGAGGTAGGAGAGGATAATCTGTGATTGGTATGTAAAATGAATAAGAAAAAAAAGATAGAAACATATATGTAGTATAACAAAAATAACCTTAAATTTGTATCAATATACAAAAATCCATACCAATATAAAATATTTAAGACTATTAGTTGCTTTTTTATTTTAAAATTAGATTGAATAATCTACCCTTTTATCCTATCATTTCTATACTCCCCCCCTCCTTTTTTTTTCAGAATGAGATTCCCAAATCTGATTTCCTTTGGTCAGACTTTTTTTTTTTTGATGATTACCAATAAAAATTTGTAACCAATCCCCCTATATGATGACAAGTATCCATAACCCATTGAATGACCAAAAACCACCCATTCCATCTTTTGGGAAGGTGGGCATTATTTTCTCTATATTGCTTCCTTCTGTTGGGGGTTTGACAGCATCTCTAGGAAACTCTGAGAAAATTGAGATAATGGTCAGGTGCTGGGAGAGCTAGCTGTGTAATTTGTTGCCAGTCTTTGTGTAATGGGAAAGTGTTTGGCTTATCTGAAGTTGTGGCTAGAGTAGTGCATGAGGTTGAGCCATCTCAGCTACCCTTCTTGATATTGTCCTGAGCAATTTGAGTCCAAAGCTGATTCTTGGGTTATATATATTAGCTTAGTGGTTTTAACATGATCCAGGTGGAATCGTTGTAGGGCGTCATCATCATTTTGAAGACTTCAAAAATCTCTGTGAGGAATGGTCCTGGTTTAATGCAGAAAACTTAAACATTTGAAATGTCAGATGCAGCAGATCTAGGAGAGGTTAAGGGACCACAATTTATTAAGTCTATCCAGCGTACACAAACTTAATTTCTAGTTACCTGATTCAGATTCAAGCACCAAATCATGTACAGGAAGTTAAATTAAGTCTTCTTGTAGAATTAGTACTCTATATGATCATAAATATCACAACAGAAAGTTTATATATATATAATTTATTAATTTAATAAATTTTGAGATAATATTTTTACCTTATTGTTATATCAAAAATTTATACTTTAAAAAACGTTTTATATATAAAACGTTTATATATAAAA